TGTCCTGAACTTAGGAGGCACTCAATACATCCTTTAAGTGAAATGAGTTACACACCCTTAAGTGCCTTCAAGGGTTAACCTGACCAAGTGCCCAGAACTGCGTAAGGAATGGACTGCTGCAGTGGGTGGGGGTGGGCTCCAGAAGGCTAGAAAAGGAGCCAGAGCTCCGAGGTCTCAAAGGGGTGGTGGCAACGGGCAGTGGGGGCGCTGAGCTGAGCTGGGACTGAAGGAAGGAGAAGAAACAAGCAGTAGGGAGGCCAAAACGTCTCTTAGGTCCACAAAGAGTGTGGGCTCCCTCCCCGAGTGTGATCAAATCTGAGGAAGTGGCTGGACTCCAAATTTGATTCTGAGCCAGTGGAAGACCGTCTCCTTGAACTCGGGGGCATCCCCGGGGAATCACTTTTCCTCAAGTAAAGATGAAGGATGGCAGGCCTTCCAGTCTCCCCCGATGCCCGGAGCTGTACCGTCCCGAAGGAAAGCGAGCATCACTCCTCCCACCTGTGACTCGGGGACTGTGGTGAGTCCCCCCGGCAGCAGCTGCCCAAGAGTGGACACAGAAAACAGGTTCCCCGGCCAGAAATCTTTTATTTTTTTTTCTTCTGAGACATTATTTAAATTCAAGTTAGTTAACAAGGAGTGTAGTACTGGTTTCAGGAGTAGAATTCAGTCATTCATCGCTTCCGTACAACACCGAATGCTCATCGCAACAAGTGCCCGTTTAATGCCCATCCCCCAGTTAGCCCATCCCCCCACCTCCCTCCACCCAGGCCAGAAATCTTGTGCTGACAGTCCTCCAGTCTTTTCAGCCCCCAAACGACTGAATAGCTGGGAGAGATGCCCTGGAGGACTTCGGGAGGAGGAGCTCTGGGCCCTGACATTTGTTCTGGGGGAATTCTGTGTTTACTTGTCCCAGGGGCCTGCAAACCCTCCAGGTTGGGACACCACGCTTTATTCATAGGAAATTAATTAATTCACATATTTGGCACCTATTTCCTGAGCTCTATGTTCCAGTCACAACAGAGTAAAAGCTCCTGCATTCTTGACACTTGCTTTGTTGTGGTGGGGGAGGGGCAGATGAGCAGGAAACTGGTCCGCAAACCAATGAAGAAAGGAGACAATTTCAGTTTATGATACACACCACACTGGAAACATCTCAGGTGAATTGGCGGAGAATAACTGGGTGCATGGAGTGGCCAGGGGCTCCATCTCATTTGATGTCAGGAAAGGTGAGTCTTGGAAGAGGCGATATTTGTATTGAGGCCCCGAGGATGAAAAGGAGCCAGGCATGGAAACTGCACAGGGAAGAGTGTTCCAGGCAGAAGAGATGTCAAGTGCAAAGCCCAGAGTACAAACAGGGTTTTCCCATTCAGAGAACAGAAAGTTCTTTAGGTCCCTGGGCCTCAAGCTTCCTGAGCAAGGAGGAGACAAAGCCACCATCGGATCACAGAAATTCCTGCGTTGAGTTTAACTCCAAGGGCGGTGGGGAAGAACTCAATGCCAAATTGTGGGTGTAATATTCTATTTTCCTAAAGAGAGATTTCGTCACTTTCACTGGATTTTCCAAGAGACCTAGGACTCCCCCTTCCCCAAGCATTAGTAATACCCGACTTCGAGGGAGAAGAGCAGGCTCAGGTCCTTCAGAAAGAGGCAGTTTGCAGCTGTAGACAGTGTATTATTCTTTCAGGATAGAGGGAAAGACTCAGGAAAAAAGTTCAAACCATAAGCCTTGAGCAGGACAAGGCTGGGACTTGGAACATTGTCTGGGAATCTTAGGGAGTAGGCAACTTTAAGTGCCCCCAAAACATGGTACAAGGAAAGGCAGAGAGACATAGCAGTGTTGGGGCAGTTGGGGTTCTCATGCTGGAAACCCAGTTCCCAAACACATGGACAGGGAATTAAACACATTTGAAAAATTGCAAAGACTTCTTCCTCTCGTTTATACAACTGCGTCGGAAAGATTTCCTAAATGTAAGTGTGACATAAAGATGGCTGAAATCCCCTACAGCTATGCCCCCCTCCCAGTTCCCCTAAACCAGTTTTTCAAGGGGGTCTCTGGAGATCCTGCAGCAGGTAGTCATGGGAGAGATGAAAGCTGACGCCCACTTTTGCTGAACTCATTTCTCAGCTGGCCCCACCCCCTGCGTGCCCCATATCCCTCCTGCCCAAATCACCCAGAAGATGTGTGGATTCGATTTGGAAGGACTTGGACTTGTTAATTAACCTAAACAGTCACATTCGTCTGCAAGGTGCATTATTGTTAATTAAAGCTGTGATTCTCCTTGTGCCCAGACGGCGGGCTGCTCTTGTCAGAATAATTAGATAGCATACGACGGTTTTCAGGCAAATCCCTGGCAATTAGAGCTGGTGAAGAATTGGGTTTGAAATCCCAGTGACGTTTTCAATCAGAATTCCTCAGAGGGCCACCTCTGGGGGAAGGTGATGATGGGGCTGTGGGGTTCGGACATGGGGGTGGGAAAAAGGGTGTGAGGACAGGTATCTGTTTCCTGCAACCTCTGGGAAGGGACCCCAGCCTGGAATAAATGAACTGTGGGCATCGCTGTGATCATCAGTCTTCCCCGAAGAAATAAGTCTCCCCCTGGAAGCAGTGTGGATGGACCTTCCCCAGGGCAAGGTGAGCTCCCCACGCTTGCTTGCTCCCTGCTCTCATCTTTCAGAGAGGATTGTTCCTCTAGCCGGGAGGCCCACTAACTCAGACACAGCTAATGTCCCTGCCAACCCTAAGATGAAATTCTGAAGGGTTCTAAGGAAACAGGAGCTGGGTTCCTGAGGGGTTGCTGAAAAGATGCCAGGTTCAGATCAGTTTAGGGGAGGCCGGTGGCATGCGGTGGGTGGGTTAGATGGCTTGGGGTGACAACTTGGGGTGGGAGGACCCCAGGAAAGTCTGATGGATGAAGAAACATCCAAAGTCAGGTTGAGGCTCACAGAAGAAGCATCCCTGTGCAGTAGACAGTGCAGGAAAGGGTCGCGGGGAAGGACTGGGGCAAAACAGCAGGGCAGGGGTGGGATGGGCTGGAGATAAGCGTGGAGAGCCCGCCCCAGCCTCCCGGACCTCTTATCAGCCACCAGCTTCTGCCTCGGCCTTGGCTTCGTGAGAGATGTGATAGGGGCTCTCTGGGCTTCTCTCCAGCGAGACCCTGCAGACGCGGTTTGTGTCTAGGGGCTGGGGCCCGGGCTGGGGCGGGGGTGCAGAGCCCCGGGGGCTTGCGTACAGCCTCCCGAGTATCAGGCTGACCCTGGAGGTTTCAGGACGGAGAGCACCCTCCACTGCCCGCTGCCCCGAGAGGGGGTCGGGGGATGTCAGGTAGGATGGAGAGGGGGCGGGGCTGGCGGGTTCCGAGGAGGAGTCTCTGGAAAGAGGATGAGAGAGAAATCCCTGTGCCGCCTTCGCGAACTGTGGTTGGAGGCCTCAGCATAAATTAGGTTTGTAAATTCTCTCTTTTTTCATTTTCCCTTCTCTTCTTTCTGTCTCAGAATGCCTCCCGCGGCTCCATGGGCCCTAAGTCCCGCCTTTCAATTTAGGATGAACCAATCAGCAGCTCCCCCGATGGTTGCTAAGAGACAGGAGGTGGGGGGGGGGATTTGGAGGCTTTGTCACGCACCCACCCAGGAAAATTCCTGAGCCTCTCCGCCGCCTGCCCAGGATGTTCTAGCTCGTGCCTGCTCCTCTCCTGCACTCTCCTAGCTGTCTCCAAGCCCAGAGGCGAGCAGGAACGGTGTAGGGGAAAGCCAGGTTAGATCACGTCTTTACAAAACAGGACAGGCTGTGTCCCGATTCAGACAATGGAAGGTATCCTTCAAGTTTCCCCAGCCTTCAACTGGGTTGGAGGGAGAAACTCATTTTTGGGTGTGTGGCATCTTGGGTCGAGGGTGAATTTGCTGGTGGTGGTAGAAGTTGCGTCCCTTACAGAGAGGGCTTATCCACTGTCCTTCCAACCATTACCCAAACCTGGAGAAAAAGCCTCCAGGACCATGACTATGCAACCAGGGCATCAGGGGGATAGCTGGGTTCAAAGGGGAAATTTGGGGGATTCTAAGCAGAAGATGAGTCAGGTCAGGCCCCTCCCCTTGAAGTGCCTCAACCTTCTCGACTTCTTGATTTTTGGTCCCCTGTATGCATCTCACACAGACACACAGAGAAAACTTGGCATAGATGCCAGGGGAAAGAAAACACATTTGGGTAGGGAGTGAGTCGTTAATCCTGATTCCACATTCTGAAAACAAGGATGGAGAGTGGAGCAAAGTGGAGGGAGGGTCTGAGAGAGCGCAGGGCGGGCACACAGGTGTGTGTGGTCGGACACTGAGGGAGAGGCACCCACACGCGGACCGGTGGTATTACATGCATGCACCCAGCATGGACGTAGGTGCCAACAGATGGAGACAGACAAATGCACGCACACACACACACACACAAGTGTGCACGCTCACACACACACGGGGATTAAGGTCCTGCCGAGAAATGAACCTCGGGGAGATGACTCCTAGGAAGTGGCTTTTCGAATTATCTTGATATGTTCCCTGGACTAAGGGAGCCCCCCGGGATGCTTCTCTCCCTGATCTCTAAGCAAAGCCAACAGGTGTCAGGGACATAGAAGGCAGAGAGGAAGGCTGGACAAGACAGACAGGGTGGGGAGACATGCTCTGAGTCCTTCTCTTTTTTCTGTTTTCTCTCTCCGGTTTCTATTCCTGTTTCATTTGCTTTCCGGAGCAGCTTCTCTTCCTCCTTCGTGTCTTCTAGTTTTTCAAGTGTCCGGCTCCCCTCATACTCTGGCATCTCTTCTCCAACCCCCTTTGAGACGGCAGTAACCCCACACCTCTAGAGAACATCTGTGCGCCCTGAGGAAGTTTGTACATGGTTCACTCTCTCCCCAGGCCGGCTAGAGAAACAGACGCCGCCGGCAGGAAGGTCTGGCATGAAATGCCTCTCTCTCCATGCTCCTTCCTCTCCTCTATGTCCCTGGATAAAATAAGAAACCATCAGCTTCATAAAAGCAGTGCAGACTTTAATTCAGGTGGACAGGTGGGAAAAGAGCTAAGACTTTGCTCCCTCGGTGTCCAGATGAGAAGGCTGTCTGAGCGGGAGGGGCAGGGAGGACCGGGAGGTGCGCGCCGTCTGGTGGTAGGACAGGGCTAGGAGCAGGGGTGTGGCCACGCAGTGCAGAATGGCCATGGCCTCTGCCAGGTGCTGTAGCAAGTCCAGGGCCTGCTGGGCCAGACATGTCGACAGGACCAAGGTCTTGGACCTCACGAGAAAGTCCAGGCCCACAACCACCCCATAGGGCCACCAGAACACAAACCAGGCCCACAGGACGTTGACCCAGGGACACGGCCACCTGCCCAGTATTTTCATCAGCGCCTTGGCTCCCAGCAAACCCAGCGGCAACAAGGTGAAGATGGTGAAACAGGCCATGATGTGTGACAGCTGCAGAAACCAGTGGCTCTTGCTGAATGTCACGGAGCAGAATCCACGGGAAGTGTCAGTGGCCAGGGTGACTGGCAGCCCCAATAAGATAGCCATTCCCCAGAGTCCCACACCGAGCCCCAGGTTGATGTTGGGGACCTGACCTGTGCTCATTTTGGGGCCCAGGCAGGCATGGCAGCCTATCAGCAGAGCCTGGGCAAAGGCTGAGCCATACCAGACCATGTGGGCCAGATGGCACAGCGCTGTGCCCTGGACACCGTTCAGCCCTGGTGCCAGGATGGGCACCGCAGTACTGAAGAGGGTGCTGCCCACGGCCAGCTGTATCAGGAAAGGCCGTTCGGGGCACACCTGCCAGTGGGAGAGAGGTCTGAGGAGCGCGAAGAGGACCGCCCCACCGGCAAGGATGCCCAGGACGCTGGTGAGGATGAAGAAGGGCAACGAGGAGCCGTCCAGCAGGCTGCACGAGCGGCAGGGGGCAGCTGCGTCCACATTGCTGTAGTTATAGTTCAGGTCATAGGAATCATTAAACTCGTCCCAAATATCGTCTCCAAAGGGGAACTTAGTAGAGTCCTCATCCGCCACCTGGAGGACAGCCCCAGAGGGGGCAGACAGTCAGATCATCTGTTTACCCCACTGAAGAGTCCCTGGGAATGAGGGCGCGGGAGGGGGAGATGGGGAGGCTAGCCTGGAGGAGGGGACACAGGGGGACAGTGGGAGAGGATGGAACAGGGAGCCTGGGAACCTGGGCAGAAGAGCAGGGGAGGGCACCGGACAGGAAGCAAGAGCCGGACAAGGTCAGGGCCAGGGCACCAGGGACCCAGATGGATGGGGGACCCAGGAGACCAGAGTAAGAAGGAGAAAAAGGAAACAGAGGGAAGGGTGAGAGAGGAGCGGAGAAGAGAAGAGGTGCAAAGGCCCCCGGGCAGACCGAAAGAGGTGGTGAGGTAAAGAGATGGGGGACTATGGGCTTGGCCCCACACTCACCTGGTACTGCAGACAGTTCCCCATGGCACTGCTGGACTCAGGGCAGGCAGAGAGAAGGGCTGGGAACGTCCTATGGGCAGCTGCAGCTCCAAGATAAGTGCCAGGGGCTAATGAAGGCCATCAGTTCTGGGCAGGGCCATGGGATAGGCGGCGGGGGGGAGCTGGGCATTCAGGAAGACTTCGTCCCACGCCCATGGCCTGCCTAAGCCTCAGGAGCAGAAGGGGCACTAGCCCGGGGCTTCCTGTTTTGAGGTTGGATTCCATCGGTGGGGACCTGCGCTCGGGAAAGGAAAAAGGCGGCCAGCAGATAGTGGGTATTTTCCCGAAGGTGGAAAGCGGAGCTGAGAAGCCAGGGGGTTTTCCAGCAAGGACGGAGTCTTCGAGCACCAGGAAGGAAGAGGGGCCAGGGGTGACTTGTGAGACAGAGATAAGAGACCTGCTGGGAAGGCGGAGGGAAGGGGCAGTTGATGACTCTCACTGAGTCTCCACCCCCTTGAACTGGATCCAGGGAAAGCTGGCTCCAGGGCGACATTTGTGGGAGGGGGTGTGAGTGGTGCCTGGGGTTGATCCGCGGGTGGCTGATGGCCCCAGCGCCCCGCCCGTGTGCACCCCAGTCTGTGTGTGTGGCTGTGTGTTGTATGTTGAATGCACATATCTGAGCGCTAGGTGGTAGGCAGGTGTCTGGGTGTTTCCGTGCGAGGACGGGAGGGGCTGGGGGGCAGCTTTCCAGGCTGCATAATGAAGCTACTTCGGGGAGCGATGGGGCGTTCGTCTAGCCACCTATGGGCGCAATGAATGCGTTTTCCATACCCAGCACAGTACCCGGCCTGATGAGTTAAAGCAGGCTCTGGGGGACAATGGGGCAACATGTTTTAAAATGGGACGGTTGCCTATGGGGTAATCTCTATTCATATTTCTGTTGGGGGACATAAAGTTTCTGGAACGGCTGCACTGGCTGGCATCTCAGCAACATGCACAGTCCCTTACTGGGGTGGGGTCCTCTACTTCTCTCTGGCTGGCGAGCGAAAGCATGGACTCTGCAGACGCAGGCCCCTGAGCCAACACCTCTGCTCTTCTGCAGCAGCTCCCACCCGGCTTCTGCACCATCTCTGACGTTTCCCTGTATTTTACTCTCTCGGGTGGGGAAACAGCCGGGACTTTGGGAGGGGTAAGTCATGGAGTCTCAGGAGCTGGTTAGGTGACACTATTTCACTCCAAGAAAGCATGGCATGTTTCAACTCCAATCTCACCAAGAAGCTCTTTTGCATTTAGGTAGGGGTGCATGGAGCCAGAGTAGGGAAGCCAAGACACAAAAGGTGGGCGCCTTACGCAGATCTTCACCCCCTTTCTTCCCAGGATGCCAACTCCAGTTTCAGGTTCAACGTGAGCGGGTTAGACAGTGGTCCCTGGGGAGGGTCTGACCTGCAGTGGGGCTGGTGGAGCCTCTGCCTTCATTTTAACCTTCTCCAGCACCGCCTGGCGATGCGCCATGGGGAGCAGTCAGGCACCCCTCCCCAAACACTCTGGAAAGCAAGCACCGGCCAGGACCCCCAAGGGGGCTAAACACCCTTCTCTCCCTTGGAGAGTTCTGTGGTCTCCATACAGGGATGCCCTTGGGAGGGGGCATGGCAAGGCACACGGCCACCCCCAGAGGCGCCGGATGCAGGGGACACCAGCAGGACCACCCTCACACGCACACGTCCCAACTGGAGCAAGAAGGAGGCAGCCGGACGACACGGATAATCCAGATATATTGAGGGTGGCCCCTCTGAGATTAGCACAGGAGAGTTAGAAAGATTATAAAGATACACGATCCCCTCCCTGCTCCCCTCCCCCCCACCCACAGACAGACACACACAGCACAACGGCCCCTCCCCCCCGCCCCCCGTACAAATATGGCTTCTGTGTAATATGGACAGAGTGGTTCAGCTCAAAGAGGAAAGGTGCTGGGAGACAGGGAGCCGACAGGCCTGGGGCCCTAGGCTGCCTTGCTGCTGTGGGGGGGGGGCCCTGGCTGAAGTGGGGGGTGCCTGCGGTGCCCAAGGGCCCTAACCAGCGGCTGGAAGATTCACGAGGCTATGACCTGAACTGAGGGGGTGGGCGAGCCTGCCGGACGCGGCAGGGAGGATGTGCCGGAGCGGGTGAGCGGGGCCGAGGGGCACCCTGGCTCAGGGAGTGTGGGCAACCTCATCTCCACGGCAATGAAGGAAGACAGAAAATCAAAAGCAGGGGTGGAAATGGGAAGGAGACCGAGGTCTCAGCCCCAGCCCTCGCCGCGCAGGGGACAGACTGTAGGGGAAAGAAGTGACAGCGGTCCTCCCAGGGTCGGTGCCAGGGAGCGGCCTGAGGGGTGCATAGCAAAGCTGTGGCACTGGCTCCGTGCCTCTGAGAAGGGAAATTGAGGCAGGGTTTGAATGCTCTGTGTTTTAGGGAGAGGCGAGATGGACAACTGAGCGAAACACATCCTGGGACTGTTTTCTCCATGACCGATGGGCACTGAGGGTGGCCTGGGACACATGGGGGCGGAACCACAGCCCAGGTGAGGTCCACAGCCTGATTAGGAGCCCGGCCCGCCCGAAGCCCTCCTGGCGGCGTCCCAGCCCCCCCCCCCCGCCCGGGAGCCCCCCTCCGGCTCTGTCTCACACACATGTGCATGTACACACGGACACCGTAACCACACACTCACAGGGTTCACATTACGCCCCTCGTCTGGGCAGGACACAGCTCAGTGCAGCGAAGCGCCTTTTAGTATTTTTGTTGTTATGTCTGCCTGGCTGCTGTGGGAACGGGAAGGGGCACAGGCGGCACAAGACGGGAGGAGTGGTTGCCGAGCGATGCCGGAGAGAAGTGGTGGCCCAGCGACAGCGGGGCTCGGGGCAGAGCCAGGGGCCGGGAGCAGCGCCTCTCCCACAGCTGCTGGAGCTTCCCCCCCACCACCACCCCGGGGCCTGGCTTCCTTCGCCCCAGGGGCGAGGGGTAACACGGCCCTCTCCGCCATCCTCCCCCCGCAGATCTACCCCCTCCGGGCAGGGACCTGCGTCCTCCCCATGCGGAAGCCCTGGGTCCCTGCGTGGCTGCCTTCCACCTGCGGGTCACACCTCCTCGGGGGCCCCCACTCACCCCTCTCCCGTTGTGCTGGAGGAGGGGTGACCGGGTGGTACCTGCTTCCCTGTCTGTAGCTTGAGGTGCGTGACTAGCAGAGGAAAAGCCCCCTCCAGCTTCTGCTCACCACCTCCCCATTGCCCCCCCCGGAGGCCAGGAAGCTGCTCCATGGTGGAGGACGGAGGGTGGAGGGCCGGGGAGGGCCCCCCACACCAGCCCGGCTTGGCTCCCTGTCCTCACCCCTCCGCCTTCGCTCTCCTCCTAACACTCCAGGGTTGTTCTTTTCCTCACCCAGGGCCCCTGCCCCTCCAGCCTGGAGACGGATTTGATTTGGGATTGTTATAAAAATAATAATAACCCAAACGCAGAGAAGCCACGGAAAGGGCTGAGGGCAACCCTCCCTCCCCCCCGCCCTCCTCCCTCCCCATTCCAAACCGAGTACAAAACCGCACCCAAAGCAGACATTCTGTACAGGGGGGTGGGGAGGGCTGGGGAGCAAGCGGGAGGGGCGGCCCTGGGGTCGCTCTGTACAAGTCCAGGTTGGTGATGGCCCCAGCAGTCCCCGTGGGGCCCCTGGGGGGCGCAGGAGGTGGCTGGGCGCCTCTAGATGAAATACTCCTTCTTGTCGTCCCCGCCCGACTGCCCGCCTTCTGCATTGATGATGGCCGTGTCTGCGTCCGGGGCGTCGTCCGAGCCTTTGGCCTCATGTGTCAGGTAGGTTCCTGCAGAGAGGGAGAAGCTCCTCCTGTCAGTTTCAGGAGCAGTTTCCACACCTCTGAAGCCCACCCCCCACCCCTGTCCTGCCCTGCCCGCCCACCACAGCTGTTCCTGCAATGCTTCTCCTGCTTAGAGCTTTCTACCTCCCCACCTGACCCAATTTGTATCTTGCTGCCAACATCCATCACCTGACTGCACCTCATGAATTAATGAATGAATGCAGTCCTTAATTAGAATCTTATTTATAAAACAAGAAAAAAAGCCCCATGTGTGTGTGTGTATAGATGCATGGGTGTGTATATGTGTGTATACATACACAGGTACGTGTGTATGGGTGTATGCATGGGTATGCATGCCTACACGTGTGTAAGTGTGCGTGCGTGTGAGCACACGCATGTACATGTGTGCTCCTACGGGTGTGTATGTGTCTCTGTGTGTACCTGCATGTATGCATGTGCATGTGTGTCTGCACATGTGTAAGTGTGTGCACGCATGTGAGCACACACATGTACATGTGTGCTCCTCTAGCTGTGTGTGTCTGTGTACCTGTATGTGTGCACGTGTGTCTGCACATGTGTGTGCATGTGAGTACACACATGTACATGTGTGCTCCTACAGGTGTGTATGTGTCTCTGTGTACCTGTATGTGTGCACGTATGCATGTGCATGTGTCTGCACATGTGTGCATAAGCATGTGCGCGCCTCTGTGTATATGCATACATGTGAGTATGTACATGTACCTGTGTGTGTACCTGTGTGTGCAGGTATGCATGTATGTGTGCATCTGCACATGTGTGCATAAGCATGTATGTGCGCCCGTGTGTATATGTGTACGTGTGAATGTGTGCATGTACATGTGCGCACCTCTAGGTGTGTGTGTGTCTACGTGTACACCCGTGGGTATGTGTGCACGTGTGTGCATGTGTGAGTATATGCGTGTACGTGTGTGTATGCATACATGTGTACCTCCATATGTGCATATGTGTGCACCTGTGTGCACATGCATGTGTGTACACGTGAGCAGGTGTGTAGCGAGCATGCATGCCCACCCTAGGTTGGGGACAGGGAAACTGCAGGTCAGCCCCGAGCAGGTAGCTGAGATCTGGGTCAGCCCATGCAGTTGGACTGCTGGCTAAAGTAGGTACAGAGGGAAAGTCTGTGAGGAGTCAGCAGGCTTGGATACAGGAGAGGAGAGGAGAGATGGTGTGGGGACAAGGCGCCGGGGGACCAAAGGACAAAGAGATGAGAAAGGAAGCCAGCGCAGGAAGAGATGGGACGGAGTGGCAGAGTCGGCAGGTCTCTGCCTGAAAGCACGAGACCCTGGGGGCAGAGCAGTGTGGGAGCAGCCGCCGACTGAGTGGGAAGGCTCCATTTTACTTGGGTGATCACCGAGGGATCGGGCTCTACTGCGGGTTGGTGGTGCTCAGTCAACACAGGGCTGGCTGTCTTCTTTCTTCCTCTCACACTCCAAGGGGCCAGCAGAGTCCCCAAAGGCCCATCCTGCAGCCGGCTCCCGGCTGCCTCCCTACCTGCCCTCAGGCTCCCCGCTGCCTCTGACCTTTGTGCCGGATCAAGTAGTGGCCGAGGAAGATGAGCAGGATGAGCAGCAGGAAGACGATGAATGCCACGATCCCACCAATGACGGCGTGGTAAGTGCTGGAGGACGAGGGTACCGGGCTGGGGTCTGCGGGGAGGGATGCACACAGTCAGACCTGGGGAGAGCCCTGGTCTTAGAGCGTCTCTGGTCTGGCCGTGGGCAATCGGACTCAGCACAGAACACGGGCTGACGCCAGCAGAACGGACTGGATCATACGGCAGGGGGGATATGCCTTGTTTTGTACCCTTTTTTCTTACACAGTGTCTGGAACGCAATAATTGTTTAAAACAATTATGTATTCCTGAATAAATGGACAAATCTGCTCACACTCAACCCTTTAAATTGTTTCTGGCACGGAAGCTTTGGTCAAAGTTCACTGCTTTAACGCCTACATGGTCTCTTGTTCTCGCTCTTGCTTTTACTTTTGGGATATCAGACTATATTCCTTCTATCCCCTCCAGGCCCTCTTACCTCCTGTCTGTTTGCCATTCAGAGCTGGCCTCTCTAGTGGGGCCCCCAACCTATTCCCTGTCCCCCGGAGACCAGACAGAGCAGGGGCAGTGAAACACCGACGAAGCTGGGAAAGGGGACTCTGACAGCACCTCCCAGAGTGCCACGGACTACAGCTGCTGTGTAAAGAGCAGTTCTGAGATGCAACGAAATCCCAGTCCTCCAGCACGCCTCCTCCGGGAGGTCTGGGACTCCAGCATCACATTCCACCATCCAGAGGTTTGTGGGGAAGGCAAAGACTTCCTTCATGGATGCAACCCCCCCCCGCCCCCACCCCAAGCTTCCTCCCATGGTGGCTAATGTCTCTGCCCTCCACTGCAGCATCTACGGGGTTGGGGGGGGGGGGGCGTGTAGATCCTCAGAGCACACACTGGGCCAGGCATGCCACGGACAGCACCAGCCTAGTCTGGGCCCCAAATATCCAAGACAGTGCCCAGGCCCAGGACACAGTTCTGATGTGTCCAAAACTACATTAGCCGTAGATACAACTCTCCCACCCATGGGAGTGCTACTGTTTTCCCACAGACTCAGCTTGAGTCTTGATGCCCCACTGACTCCTTGCAGATTTTGTCTTTCCTATGTTACGTCTCCTCAAGCTCGACTGGGCCAGCTTTTTGGTTCCTTGACTGTTGCTATGCCTAATTTGACAAGAAAACATTTATGTTTTGGTTTTTTTATGCTCTGCTTGGGGGTGGGGGGAGGATTGGCCTGGAGGCTCCATGATATGATGAGGTGGGTGTGAGGGTGTTGAGTGGGAAGAAGCAGAGGGACGTCGCCCCTGTCTTTCTCCCAGGCAGCAGGTGACACACAGTCCACGCTAAAAAAAAAAAAAAAAAAAAAAAAAAAATTAATGCTGGATAATTGTTCCGAGGCTATGGAAACGGAAATGCCTTAGAAAAACAGAGCTTTCCATGGCCAAAATGACGTGTGGGGTCATCAGTTACAGATCCCTGTCTCTGCTGGAACTCCTTTATTCCTTCCAGGCTGGTGGGGCCAAGACTGCTCAGGAGACGCCTGGAAGGAGATGCAGAACCTCCTCCTACCGCCGGGTGTCAGCACTGGAAGTGGACGCTGTGAGACAGGACTGGGTGGGGGAGGGCGGGCCCGCAGGAGACCAACCACCAACCACAGGGGCCAAGAACTTTCAGCGCCCTGCCGGTCAGCCTTGGAATTGGCAGGGGGAGATCTGGGGGCTGACACTGGTCCTCGATGCTGGCATCCTATGCTAGCTTTGCTTGTGGTGCTGAGGCAGTTCCCACATACCCAGGCCTGTCCTGGAGTCAGATTCACCCCATCTACACAAACACCACGCTCCCACGGGTCTCAGGTCTCTTATCCATGGGAGGCCCGACGGCCATCACCTCACTGACCGAACGGGCATTTCCAGCAAGGGAGCCTCTGGTGTTCCCCCGACAATGTATTTCCCCTATTTTGAGCTTATAAGGTTTTCTGGCAGGACCCCACTGCCACTGGGATCTTCAAAAATTCTGCCCACTTAATTGTGCAAGACTGTTGAATCTCAGATCTGTACCTCTGAAACAAATAATGCAATATATGTTAGAAAAAAAAAGAAGAAGAAGAAGAATGTAGCAGGAGGGGAGGAATGAAGGGGGGGAAATCGGGGGGGTAGACGAACCATGAGAGACGATGGACTCTGAAAAACAAACTGAGGGTTCTAGAGGGGAGGGGGGTGGGAGGATGGGTTAGCCTGGTGGTGGGTATTGAGGAGGGCACGTTCTGCATGGAGCACTGGGTGTTGTGCACAAACAATGAATCATGGAACACTTCATCTAAAACTAATGATGTAATGTATGGGAATTAACATAAGAATAAAAAAATTAAAAAAAAAATTCTGCCCACTCTCCAATAAGGGGACCTCTGTGCCAGCCTGTCACGGCTCCTGGGTTTTGTGGTCACACCTTTGGGAAGAGCTTCAGAGAAGAAGCATCACTAGTGTCTCTGGGAGATAAGGCATCGGAGAAAATGCCCTGTGTCTCAGCGTCGTACCAGCAGACCTCTGTGTTCTGCCTGGACCCACCCTACCCTGTCCAAGGTCTGCAGCAAGGACATGGTGGTGGTGGCTCCACGCGTCCCCTGTGGGTCACAGGAGTGGCAGCCTTGGGACAGCCCACTGGAAAGGGGAACTCCCACGCTGGCCCCGGTGAGACTCTGGGGCCTCTCCACATAGAACTGTAGTTGTTGCTGCCTGGGGAGCGCAGGCAGGGGAGGACGGTGTCCGGTGGGCCACCAGTGCTAACCAGGCAGTCGAGAGCCTGACATCCTGCTGATTGCTTCCGTGTTACACGTTCCAGAGCGGACCTAGAGCCCAAGTCCCAGGCCCTTCCGCGGTGGGCTCTTGCCCCTCCCTTGCCCCTAGGGCACAGCAAGGGGTGCTCTCAGGAGCCGAGACACAGGGCGTGGCTGGGCAGACAGGGCGAGGGGGATGCGGCGGAGGGCTGGGACGGCTCACCGTTCACATTGAGCGTGTAGTAGGCCTTGTAGCTGCCCATGTTGCTGGTGGCCGTGCAGCCGTATGTCCCACTGTCGCTCTTGTTGAGGAAGGGGAAGATCAGGGCACTCTCCTGGGTCATCTTTAGCGGGGGCACACTGCCCTCCTTCTCCCACAGGTACTGCTGGGGTCTGTGGAGGCAGAGAAATCTCACGTGTTTGGGAGAGAGCAGGCCAGGGGGCTGAAGGGAGACAGAAAAACACCTGGGTGGAGGAAGTCAAGGACGGTTTGACGCAGGCTGAAGGACTTACAGGGGCCACAGGCACGAGGTGCTGAAGGGAGGGGTGACCCCTTGGGGTTTGACCTGAGGATGAGGGTGATTTCCTAACTCGTATCTGACTGTGACTTGGTTGGTCCTACGGGGACCATGGGGGCAGCCAGAGAGTGCCCCCCTTCTGCGGCTTTGCAGGAGAAACAGGTGGGGGATGGACGGCGCAGGGCAGGGACAGGGAAGGCAAGAGGCTGACAGTAGGGGGCGATGGGGAGACTCTAAGGGAAGACCACAGTCTGAGGTGCGGAGGTGCGCTGGGGCGGGAAGCGGATCCTCTTACACGGGATTGCCACGGCCCTCACAGTGGAGTAGCAGTTTCTGGCCCTCGCGGGGGTGTGGGGGGTCTGGCCTAATCTTCGCCGTCGGTGTGTCTGTGGAGAAGGAAAGGGCGTCAGCGCACAATGGCCACACCGTCCAGGAGGGGACCGCCATCCCGCCATCATCCAGTTGCGCATTACGGCTTCCATCCCGAGAAGTCTCAAGCGCTGGCGGGGCCCGGGACAGAGGCCTCCACCCCCCGCCTGCCGCGAGCCCAGTCCACGGTTGCTACTGAACGCGCGTGGGATTCGCACTGCAACCCCGTAGAGGTAGGATTTCTGAAGATCTGTCGTGGTGGGGACCGAAAGGACGTCCTAACAGAGAGCTGAGAAAGGGTCGACTTAATGCACATTTTTGGTAACCAGTGAACGTGAACGGGATCGTTTATTGAGCTCACACTCTCTCCATCCTCTCTGTTCTGCTGGGAGTTTAAACTGAAAGCAACAAGGGAACACAAAATATCATTTTCCACCGTCAGTCCAACAGTGAAGTAAGAGCTTCCCAACAACAAGAGATGGGGGTCATATTTGGGCGGCAGAAAGGCACTGACATGGTATAGATGAGCTCTGTGAAGGCATAATGGCATCTGCCATGGCGCCAAAGGGCTGCTGGGAGGCTAGGTCCAGATGGCCGCACGAACAATACAGCCAGATGCTGGTTTAGAACAACAGATAAAGAGGCCGAGCTTCCCCCAAGGACAGAGCCAACCTTAACAACCAGTTAATGAACGTGTTTCTGTCAGATCAAACAGGACAAAGAGCATCAGGCCAGGTGAGAAGATGGGTGCTCCAGGGCCCCACAGCCATAGAAACCTCTAGCACAGTGCCTGGAGTCTAGCACTTGTTGACTGACTGCTGATCACAGTTGGGCCTAGAGAGTCAGCGCCAGATGGTCTGGTACCTGACAGAGAAGTCTGTGGGGTTCGGACATGGGAGGGCCCTCCTGAGCCCTAGACAGGGACCCGGGCCTGGGGCCCCACACTTCTAACTAATCAGCAGAGAAACACCTTACAGCAATAGACAACTCTGAAGTCTGCACAGTTCTTTCACAGATATTTTCCCCTTGACCCTCACGCTAACTCCGGGAAGTAAGCAGCCCCTGGGAGATGGCAAGTTTGGTGAAAGAGGCACAGCTAGTCGGTAGTGGCCCCGCGGCTGGATTCGGGGCCGTCTGCCGCCAGCTTGAGAGTATGCCAAATGGGAAGTGACACCGCCCCAAACCTGCCTCACATTCAGGTTTCAGCAATGGGTCTAGCAATTTTGAAGAGTGCCAAGTTCAGTCCTGGGTCTTCCATAAGAAAGAAGATGAAGCAGCTGAGTTATTTCAGGAAAATGCCCGCCTCTAGATAAATTAGGATAAGAAATGCATTATTTTATAACTCTCTGTCTTCTGCCTCGGTACTTTCTTTTCTTTTTTCTTGGTTCCCCGACTCAGAAAATTTACAAATTTCCTCAGGTGAGGGTGGAAGTCTCCTGTCCACACCCAAGGCAGATTCCACAGAGAAACAAAGACCCTTGGAAAGGTTCCAAGTAGGGACTATGACAGTGGCCATTGTAAGTCAGAGAGCCAAGAACACTTGCAGAGCTGGGGCAGACGAGGAGGACCACAGGGAAAATCTGGGATCCTGAAATCACAGTATGTTGGTCTAGGAAAAAGCCTTAGTGGTCACCAGGTTCATCTTCTTATAGAGCAAATAAAGAGTCAAGCTCAGTGGGTAAAGCCCTTTCCTTAACCTCAGAGAGCCTGGAGCGGTGGGGGGCGGGGGGAAGACTAGCACCTGCATCTTCTGACTCCTGGTTTGCTACAGTTACCACTAGAGCTTACAATCTAGCTGCATAACCCTGGCCTAGCTCAGGGCTTAGTAAACTTGCTCTGGGGCCAAATCCTCCCAGCTCTGTGTCTTTGTAAATAAAGTTTTATTGGAATGCGGCCACACTAATGTGTTGACATACTGTTTATGGCTATTTTCCTGCAGCAACAGCAGAGTTAAGTAGTTGAGACAGAGACCATGTGACCCCCAAAGCCTCAAATACTTGCTATTGAGCCCTTTACTGAAAAGCTTGCTGACTCTTGGCCTGGTGCTGTCACCCCTCAACTCATCACTTATCTGTGCACAGTGCTTCGCATATATAGTCACGAGCACTTTCTCCCCCCGCCACCATCTCATACCTGATCCTTCTTCACCCAGAAGCCCACCACATACATAGAACTTCGATGCGTTGAGAGGTGGATCTGTCAGCTCCCTTTAGAGATTCATGGTTCACAGAGCATACGATGTCAGCCCCATCATCCTCACGGGAAACCTGGAATGTCACTGAGCTGCTCACGGTGAAGGTTTTACCATTGGGATCTTCCTGAACGCGGGTTGGTTCTCCTGGAGTACAGAACAGACACACACACACGCATACACACAGACAGAGTGAGCCCTAACATACAGATACAGTGTGGGCCCCACGGCAGACATACAGATGGCGAGTCTCAACTTAGACAAACTTAGAAAGTTGTGAAATGGTTATGTACACACAGGGAGAATGTAGGCCCTAGCACACACACACACACACACACGAGTGTGCACATACACAGACATGTGCCCCTCTCTTCCTCACCCACCCCACCACCTCCTTCTGAACCCCAAAGCAGGGGGACGTACCGTGGAGCTCTTGGTCGCCCTTCCGCCAGGTGAGCTGGGCTGCAGGTTTGCTTCCAGAAGACTGACAGTTTAGGGTGGTTGTCTCCTTTTCCCGTAATGAGGACTTGTAGCCAGTAATTATGGGCTTCTGTGGGATTCCTGCCATGGACGGGGGATGGCCAAGATAGGAAGGACAGGCACCATGAGGTGACCTCAGCTGTCCCTGCAGAGATGGCCCCTCAGTGCCGGGGGCCGGGGGGGAGGAGTCAGGATGCATGAGTCCTACTTTGGTTTAGAATGGGTAGAAGACTAGAGAAATCATCTTTCTCTTCAATCTCTTCCGTAAGGACACACAGGGAAGATCTGATACATGACCTGACACCCCACAGCAAAACTGTCTGGCTAAAGAAATGGTGTGAAGCCCAGGGGAGCAAGGAAGAAAACTGAAATGTAGGACCCAGGTAAGAGCATGTAAGCAGCTGGGGTACTTGGACAATAGAATCATACACTACAAGTACTTCTCGTTTTCCTCATATAATCTTGGGAGGTTCGTGGAATAGACGTGAGCATCTTTCTATCATAGGTTAGGAAATTCAGGCTCAGAGAGAATAAGAGATTCCTCCCAGAGCACACAGTAAGTAGAGGAGAAAAGATCAGAACCCAGTGCTATTTGCACTTGGTTCCATTGTGAAGGAAGCACAGACTGAAGTTTTCCTAAATGCTGGGAGACTTGCCTGGCCTCTGGCTGCCTCGGGGGCTCACCTAGGAGCTGTGTTTGCAAGGAAGCCCACTGTGGAGCCCCTGGGGTTGGGGAGCCTCACCGAGCACAGTGACGAGGGACTTGGCGGTCCTCACGGGCATGGTGAAGATGGAGCAGGTGTACTCGCCCTCATCCGCCAGGGCTACGTTGCTGATGCTGATGCTGAGCTCATGGGGTGTGGATCTAACCAGCTGGATCCGATTATCACGAAGGGCTGGGGACATCGGGAGAACGGGAAGCAGGGCTTTCACTGGCACTGTTCATCTTCCAGTCCCAGGCCAGAGTCTTTGGGAGAAGGGGTCTAGCATGGTTTGGGGCAGGGAAAACTGCTTCTGAGTTTGAGCAGTCTTCATGCGGTCAGTCACTTTCCTGAGCCACTGGGCAGGCACAGCAGCCTCAGGGACGCTCAGAGAAGTAGGCTTGAATCTCGTGGGCTGCCGTGTGAAGCACACGGGGCAACATTGACACCAGCTACATCTCAGGGCTGCTTTGGGGTGTCGCCAGGGAGGACCCTGTGGGACCGTGCATGGTTCAGGTCAGAGCTGTGACACTACAGTTTTTCTGGAGCCAGGGGAGGAGCCCCTGGCGTGGCTGCCTCCTCCAACAGCATGTCTTCCCTGTGCCCAGCCTCCGCACCCCAGGCACATATAGCCCCGGGCCCTGCGGACCCCTGCCCCCGCCCACAGTGCCCCCGGAGAGAGGACACCTGGGACAGTACCTCTCTTCTCGCCAAAGTAGAGAGTCTGCTGGGCAGGGTTAGACCACTGCAGAGACGAGTCCTCGTGATCTTTCACGTGGCACTTGAGCACCACAGTGCCTCCAGCCACCACCGTCTCGTCCGATGTCCAGGGCTGGCTATCTGCAGGAGTACAAGAGGGTCAGCTTCCTGAGGAAGCCCCAGCCCCTCCACCCACTTCTGGGCCAAAGCGTGCCTCGTCTAACCCCGGCGGTCCAAGGCCCGGGGGTCTGTGTTCTCGCAAGGCATCGTGGGAGAAGGAAGAGAGGTGGTGGGGAAGGGGAGACAGACCTTATTTCCTCTTGCTTGGAATACACAGAAAAACAGTCACTTGTTGAATGTTTGCTGAGTGAACTGACAGGGCCGCAAACATTTAGGGGAATAAAGGCGCCCACATCTACACAGAGCACCGCACATGCATCTTTCCTGAGAGGCTCTGCCGTTCACTTTGAAAGCACGCACACGCATCTGTCATTCTACACTCTGCCTTCCTGCCTGTGCCTGCCTATTCGAGCAAGGACAGGAAAGGCGCTTGAGACCAATAATCCCAAAACTAAAAGCGAGGAGAAGGCCGAGCCAGCTTTGGGTCCCACATTCGTTTACATAAGAGGTAGCTGATAAAACTGTGGAATAAGCAACCAAAAAGATTAAAAAAAAAGAAAGAAAGAAAAGAAAAGCTGAAACATATTGGCACAGACTTTTGAATTCCTCCCACAATAACTTCCCTTCATCGTCAGCTCACACTCTTTCAGTCCCCGGACAACCGGCCTCTCCACACACCAACCCAAATCACCCCCCTCCTGTTATTTTAGAGTAAAGGATTAAAGTTTTCCCTGCCATGTGATGGAAATACTTTCCCACCCCTCTCTCCTTAGTCAAATTAATTAAAAAAAAAAAAAAAGGACGAATAAGGTATCATATGGATGAGCCATTTGACTCCCAAATGGGCCCTCAAGATGGCCTAGCCAGGAGCCAGCCCTCAGGGCGTGACCCTCGTTTCTGCCTCCACCCAACGTTGTTCCGTGTTCCCCGCGGCTTGGCTTCTGCTCCCCATGCTGACTCCCTCATCTCCAGGACTGACTTTCTGTGACCCCAGAGCAGCGACCTCCACAGGACGAAAATGCACAACACCTTCCAGCTCTGATTCTGAAGCAACCGCACCATCCCTTCGGTGGCATGAAACCAGTTAAGCAGCATTATTCTTCTCTGAATAGGAAGCCAAGGAACTTACTTCCTGCGTTTCCTAATTGAGTAATTTTAAACAATGCCCATCCTCCCCCTGGCACTAACCTTACCCCTGCCCTGTCTGTTATTCCTTTCCTCCTTGGTCACCAGAGCTCCATTTCCAAGAAATACATAATGGATGCTCCTAGCAGAGAAGGGGCCCTGAGGAGAGAAGGTGGCGTGTGCTGGACTTGATAACGAGCACGCGCGCTTCGGGGTGTCCATCTTCACGATGGTGCACAAAGTCTGGCCGCTGGTTTCAGTGTTTAGAATCATAACAGAACTGAGGGGGATCTTAGGGATTACGGAATCCAATTCCCTCATTTTACAGATGTAGACAATGAGGCCATGGAGGTGGAGTGATTGCCTATGATCATTCTACTAACCAGGGACTCCAGTGGGGACTATGATTCTGTTCTTCGACTCTCAATGCAGGGGCCTTTTCATGGGAATGCTCCTCAAGTAACCGTCTAACTTGAACATTTAAACGATGATTTTAAGATTAGTGAGCCAGAGACAGAGCTGGCTGAGTACACTGGGACATGATTTATCCCTTGAGCATCTGAACTAAAGGTTTGGGAAACCTGTCATTTACTGCTCGCCATATACCAAGTTTTGACCAGTAATCCTGTTATCCCTGGGTCCCTTTGAAGAATTCTACTTCGATTGTGTCTTTCAGAACCTCTTTATTCTGAGTAATACCCTCCTCCTGGAATCATTTTATTTTGGGAAAAAGGTGTAGGGGATACAGAGGTCTCTGCACTGGAGTAAGGGAAGAGGCGTGGGTGCAAGAGAAGTTGGTGGTGTGGAACTAAGAACTAAAATGTCGGATGGAGCTGTGTGGTAATGAAGGGGGTGAGAACATAGGGCAGAGGCAACATGAGTGGGAGATGATGTGAGGATGGCGGAAGGAACTGAGGGACATTGAGATGAGGGTCCTGGATTCTCACCTTGACTGGCCAGCATGTCAGAGCTGCTCCAGACTGTGGAGCTGATGGCCTCGCCGAGTGGAGCCAGAGTTCCCAGCTCCAAATCCTGCTCCTGCCAGTAGCCTGGGGAGAGAATCTCCATCAAGGATGAGCCCTACGTATTTGCTGCTACCATTTGGGATACGTTGGTTGTTGAGGGTGGGGAGAGGGCAGGCCCTTAATGAAAAGCGGGTTCTCCAGGATCCCTAAGAGAAGGTGGGTTTCTCACAAAGGGGAGAGATTAACTAGAGTCCTGAAAAGGAAAGTGAGCTCTTCCTCTGAAGGAGAGATAAAAGGAGGATGCTGAGTTTTACCAGTCAGAGCCAGAAGAGACCTTAAAGATCCTCTGGTCTAGTTCTCCCACTTTACAGATAAGGACAATGGAGCCTACAGAGGTTAAAAGTCACTTGGTGAAGGTCATCCCAGAAAGTGAAAGATAAGCGAAGAGTTTTCATTCCTTATCCAGGATTCTTTCTGCTACACCATATTATCTACTAAAATAACAACAGATTTAATAATTACAAAATCCGTTCACTCTTAATCCTTTTAGTAGACCCGTGAAATAAACACGCTGGTTCCTGTTTTGCAGCGTGGAAACAGGATGCAGTGACTTGCCCAAGGTCATACAAACAGAAGAACAAAGATCGGAAACTGAATGCCTGATCCCAAGTCCAGAGCTGTTACTTTCCAGTTGGGGCCCCCACCACTGCGGACAGACGGCGGCGGGCCGGCGACGGCCACCTGCTGGGGGACGCGCAGTCTGGACCCACTGCCCACTTGATTCCCCTGGCTCTGCTCCCTGCCGCCACAACTAACCCCAGGACCTGAGTCACCGCCTGTCTTCGCGGCCGGTGGCTCCTGCACCCGCCGGGGAAGCACTGCGCGGAGCCCCGGGCCTGGGTCCCCAGCTCCACCTGCAGAGGCGGAGGGACAAAGAAAGCCGCCGCGCAAATCTGCCGAGTCTCCCGCCGCACACCCAGAAATAGCCAATCACTGGCGCAGCGCTCCGTGACGTCATCGGCTGCTGAGCAGAGTCCGGAGCGGCCGCGCGTCCCGGGCCGGGAGTCGCGGGAACTTGGCGGGCGGGGCGGGGCGGGCGCGCGGGAGCCTGACCGGCCGGCGCGGCCCCGGCGGTGCTAGGGCGGTCGGGGGTGCGGGTCGGGGGTGCGAGACCAGACTGAGACGGGGGCCTGAAGAAGGGGGACGGGACGAGGGGGGGCATTGCGGAATCTGAAGGAAAGGGGAGAAGGGACAGGTTGCGGGGGGGGAGAGCAGGGAGGAGAGGGGAGGGAGGGGGTGGCCGGGGTGGCGGGGGCGGGCGAGGCGGAGGGAGCGGGCTGGGGCCCCGAGAGAGCGCCTCAGGGGTCACCGGCCTCCACTGGTCCTCGCACACATCCTCCAGGAAATTCGAGAAAACGTTCTTCTCCGGGAGCCTTAGCACCAATGTCCAAATGGGGAGGGAAAGTAGAGACGGCAGAAAACCCGGAGCCCGCGGAGAGAAGTAGGCAGCAAAGGGGACAGGGAAAGTGTTGGTGAAGGGAGGCAAGAAGACTGAGGCCGCCAGGAGAGGTGGCCAGTGCTAACACAGGGGCTCTCAGACCCAGCAGTGCCCGCCCCCCTAGCCCCCACCGGGGGCCAGGCCCTGGCCCTGCTGCCTTCTGCGGACTTCAAGGCTGGAGGCAACCTGACGCTGGTGAGTGTTTCATTTTCTTTTCCAGGTTTTGTATTTGTGGGTGCTTGGACACACGGTGGAAAGCCAGATTGGGGTGGTAGAGGGTCAGAGAGAAGCCAGAGAGGGGTCCATGCTTAACCCCCAGCTCCCAGTCCTGGTTCTAGGTGCCCTCCGTAAGCACCAAATAGGAGCGGAGGGAATAGCGATCTCAGACTTCGGCACAGGACTTCTCAGTTTGCAGGGTGGATCTTCAGCCACCAGTTCATTTAATGACAAAACCATCTTGAGAGATAGGCAGCCAACAGAATCGCTTTTTAGAGATGAGGTTGAGAGAGGTCCAGTGACTTACCTAAAGGCACACAAATACACCTCTCAAGAATCCTCTTTCTCTCTCCCTTGGGGCTCTCAGAGCTTTTTCAACAGCTCTTTTTTCGTGTGGCATTTCTGCTCATTGTATTGCAGTACACTTGTTTACTTATCAGTTTCCCCATCTAAACTTTGAGCTGGTTAAGAACAGGGGCCTGACCTTACTCATTTTGTATCCTCAGCTCTCAGTGCAGAGCAGGTTCTTGGTGCATTAAATTGGCTCTGGTCATTCATTCAGACACACCTGGCGCTCTGCTCTGTTCCCAGTCAGGCAGAGGATGTATCTGCCCAACAGTGTGGATTTCGTCCCACTCTCCTGCGCCTTCTTTCCTCTGTGCTTTTTTGCTGCATTCCCTCAGTTGCTTTTCCCTCCTGTTTCTATTTCTTTCATCTCTCCCCTCCTGCATTTTGCTGGCATTTTCTCCCCCTGTATAGGATGAATATGTGAAATGGTAAGGTAGGGCATTCAAACCACACTGAATTGTTCAGATGAGGGGACAGATAATTAAAATGAATAGCCTCCAATAAATGACATATATTGTGTTTGTAGATTTCCAGGGAACTCACTCTGGTTTGTAGCGTTTTAAGAAGCTGGTGAACAGATAACTGTGTGTGTGTTTCTTTCCCTGCTGCGGTGATATTTCTCCCTCTAGTTCTGAAGAGTACTTATGATCGCATGTCTTCTCTTGAGAACTGTCTGTTAGTATGCCTGAAAGTTTTCTCGCTGTTCTTATAACACTGTGCACCTGTAATGATAAATGCAGAATGGCCATTCCCCCAGCAGCGGATGAGTGATTATAATGCTATTAACAGAAACATGGATAAGTAGCAGAAATTATGACTGGGGCAGCAAAAGCCTTGTGCCTTTGGGTTCAGATTGTGCTCATCATTTATGACATCAGCATAAATTCCTTCTGTGGACTCCAGTTGGAAGAGAAAACTCAGGAGCGCTCTGAAAGGGCGGCATGGACTTTGCAGTGGACACAGTGGATCTTCTGCTCAGGCAGGGACACTGGAGGGAAATGCAGACTTTGGACCACAGAGCCACTTGTTGCGGGGCGGGGGGTGGGGGAGCAGGCTACTCATAGGGAAAAGCAATGAAGAGATTCTATTCAAATGCGCCTTACTGTCTTCCTGCTTGTGAGCCTTCACTGACTTCCCATGGTCTGCAGATAATATCCAGATGTGTTAGGCTGGCCTTCAAGATCCTGGGCAGTCTGACGCCACTGTGCCTTCCAGCTTTGTCTTTCCTTTATCCTACCCATATCCCAGACATGATGCCAGTCTGAGTTTTCTATAAACCCTTGGCTTTCTTGCCTACATTCCCTTTCCTACCATAGCCCTGCTGATAATGCCCTCCACCCATCTTCATACATCTAAGCCCTACCAGTGCTTAAAGCCTACTTTCTGTGGCATTTGCTCTGGTAAGTCTTCCTTAATTGTCTCGGATGGAAATGGCTTCTGGTTTCTCTGAGTTGCAACACTTGATCTACTTTTCTTAAGTTGTGCATCACTCTGTGTTGTACTGAAAGTTTGGCTTCCCTCCTAAATTATAAAGATTCCACAGGTGGGGATATCTGATTCATCTCTGTATCCAGCACGGGCTCTAATGCAGCATACTGCACATGGAAGGGGCTTGATAAACAAATATTTAATAAATGAATCCAAGATGCTGGGCATCTTCTGTTGTGAGAACCAGGCTCAGCATCTGCCAGGGAAGAGGAAAAAGCAAACCAAAGAGGAGGAGGAAGAAACAGGACAAAGGAGAAGGTAGACCATCGCAAGGCTGAAGCTCTAGAACCTACAATATGGTGGGAATCGATATTTATTGATCACCTTGTATGTGTCAAAGTCCAAGTTAGGTGCTCTATAGTCATTATCCAGAACAGCCCTTTTTGATAGGTATTAGTATGCATACGTTAAGGATGAGTTGGCTGCGACTCAGAAAAGTTAAGTAACTCATCTACACGATGGAGCCAGTAAGTGTTGGGACGGGACAGCCGTCAAACTTAGACCCCTCTGACCGCAGAGCCCAGGCTTTGTGCACTTCTCCGCTGCACTGCCTCCCTCTGCAGAAGTATGCATTTTGTGTGTGTGGTGGGGGGGTGGGGGCAGGAGTTCTAGGGGTCAAGGTTCCTTCCTGCATCGCTCACTAAACAACATTCACACTGCTCATCTGTAAGATGATCAAGATAACAGTGTAGCAAGTTGGGAATGGGGGCTTGTGGTGGTAATGGGATGGCTTATACCCACTGAATTTCCTTGTTAATTGGATTTCTTCATGTGGCATCATCTATACCTCTGGGGGATACTTCATTTACCCCCAAGAGCCTTACAATGCGAGACTTTTCAGTTAACCCAGCAGCAGATGTGTCTAGTTAAAACTAACAGAATCCCGTCACGTTTTCACAAGACTCTAGTGTCTGGGCTGAAAACAAAAAGAGTGTCTTGTTTGCCCTCAGTTGCCTTGGGGGTTTCTTAATTCTTGGTTTATTTACCCGTGGGTTCCAATATCTTAAGGACTCCCAGCATTTTAAAGGACAAAGTAGCCCTTTCACCCACCAATGTCCTCCTGATCGATTGTTCACACTGAGAGGAGCAGAAGTGGGAATTGGAGACTTACCGTGTCCCTTGAAAGAGCAGTGGCACCTGGGACTCGTTTTCCACTCATAAGACATGTCCTCACATATAGTACGTGCTCAATAAATATTTATTGAATAAACATATGAGCGACCCAAATGAATGAAAATGTAGGATGTCTGAGTGAGGCTAGGAGGGAAGTCTAAGAGAATGTGCCAGCATAAGCTCCAGTTGCTTGGTTCATGCCTCCCCTGCCCTGTCTGTTCTGGGAATCTACAGGGCATTCCCCCGGGCCTGTGAACATGGTCACCGATGCATAGGTGGGATGGTGGGACAGGGACGGAGAGCTCCCGTGTTACCATTGCTGGCCTTGCCAGCGCCTGGGTCCAGAGCTTTACCTCCCTGACTAGAGAAAACCAGCTCCCTGAGTAGGAGTTGATGATGATGGTGATGGTGATGATGATGATGAGTCAGCATTTCTAACTCCAGAGTTAAAAATATTCTTCATCCCAGCCTACTTGTTATTCCTCACGACTACCATGACAGGTGGGTGGAGGAGTGTTATCTCCAAGGGAAAAACACACTGGGGGCTGTGGCCCAAAATACTGAAGGGACCCACTTTTAGGATCGTTTACCCACACCCTCTGCTAGGCTCCCCGGCCAGGGGATCTCGCTCGGATTCTTCCCTGACCTAAGCTACTAGTGAATTCTTGTGTATGTTTGGATCACACACAGAAGAGAATGGGCCTGGCAAAATCAGATTTAGAACTCAGCCCCTGGAGCTTTGCTGTGTGCCCAGAGCCACACGTTTCTTTATCAGCGAATGTCTGATTCTGCGTCTGGAGGAAGGTAGGCCTTGTAGTCCCATGTAGTCCTGATTTAGATGATAACTCTGAGATCTGGGGAGAGTCACTTTGACCTGAGAGACTTTAGAGCTCAACACCCTGATCAAAAAAGGACTCCTTTCATACTTTTATACTTGCTTGCGTGCTGCCAGGAATTACTCTACTTCTGCTGAGGTCACCGTGTTGCTCCCTCATCTAAGGCATGGAGGGCCTGAGTGTCGAAAAACTCTTACTTCCACCTTCTGTCCCTTTCTAACTCCATCCTCCCCCGGGTTCTCAATCCCTCCTTCTCTCTGTACTAGAGTGCAGTCACACAAAAGCTGGGGCCGTGAGAGGTGGGAGTTGTTCTGACATTTGGGATTGTCTGTCTTTCCAGGTGTATTTCCTGCTTTCTCTGTTGCTCCACAGGGATGGGCCTCTGTCCCCTCACAGGCTGCAGGATCACCTAAAGGATGCCCTGGCTCGGTTCAGATATGTTCCAGCTCACAGTTCCTGCAGGACTTCTGAGCTCAGTCTCGCCCCAGAGGCCTGCCTCCCTCACCCAGGCCTCCCCTCCGCCCTCTCTGTTGCGGGGCCCCTGGGACCTCGCTCTTTGTTCCCTCGCTCCGTTCTTTCTGTTGCTGTCTGGCTTTTCCTCCTGGAGTCTTGTTTATCTCCTTTCCCTCTGGCTCCCAGCAGCCGCTTGGGCCCAGAAGGCACTACTCTCTGAGCTTTGCTGTACTATCCCAGGAGGCACACAGGATATAAGGGAAAATAGACGGTAAATAGGGTGGGAAACAGAACCTTCACTAGAAGAAGTGCCTGTTGTGTTGATTTGTCCCATGGCTTGGTGAAGCGTGGCCAAGAGGTTCAGATTTGCAGAACCAGGGATCCTACACTATTAGATAATCCAAGAGATTTAGGTTTGGAAGGGGCTGATCCAGGCTCCAACAGGTTTATTACTGAACATTGGCAGATGCCTTTTGGTTCCATCCTAAGCAGGTCATTGAAAATGAAAGGCTTTTGTTTCCTGGGCTTGGAATGGTGTGTGGCTAAGCTTTTCCAGGCTGAATGAGGAGGAGGGAATCTTTGGGTTAGTTGGCTAGCTCGCCTGTGGTGGGCGTGAGGGTGGGGTTAAAACAAAAAGCTTATCTGTGTGTTAACCCTCTTTTCACTAAACAACAACAACAACAAAAAACCCCAAACCCCCCAAAACACCAAAAGCAAACCTCGTTATCCCAAATGTTTTGA